CGCTGCCCTGGCCCCTGCCCCCCCCCGGCACTGGGCTGCGAGTGGGGGGCGCTGCCCTGGCCCCTGCACACTGGCTGCTTGTTCTGTGGGAGGAAAATGCGCAGTACTGGGGCTGGGATGAATGGGCCTTTTCTCTTCACAGCTGGGTCCGTGGCTGGTGGCTGGGAATCCGCTGACGAGACAGCCGGGGGCAGGGGAATGCGAGGAGGCAGCGAGTCTGCCCCACGTACCCGCCTGCTCCGGGTGAGATCGGGGAGCCCCGTCCTGTGGCGCTCAGACAGAGCGGAGCAGAGCTCGGGGCACCGCTCACAGGCACCTTGCACCTGACCCTCCAGGCGGGGTGGCCATGGGCATTGGCTGTGGCCTGGTGAGCCGGCGCCTGTGCAGGGGCACTGGGACTGCCAGGGACTGGGCCGGGCCGGGGGTGTAGCCGGTTCCATGGACATGGCGGCGAGGGACAGGTTTGCAGAGATGCAGGACAGGCTTCGGATCCTAGAGGACCTCAACATGCTGTACATCCGGCAGATAGCACTCAGCCTGCAGGTACGGCTCCCGCGGTGCCCCTGCCAAGCGTCCGGCAGGGCCCAGCCTGCGCTGGGGGCGGCTCCTGCATCCCACCCTGGCACTCACCATGGCAGGGCGCGGGGGCTGCCCGTCCTGGGATCCCTGTGGCCCGTCGGTGCCAAGACCACATGGTTACCCCCACGGGTGTCCAGGGAGCCAGGCTGGCTTTGCTGAGCTCCAGTCCATGTTGGGCCTTATTGCAGGGGACGAGCGAGGGCAGACCCTGGGGCTTTGGGGCTGTCGGGCATTGAAGGGGCTGCTGGGACTTTGAAGTGCTTGGGGTGCTTGGCTGGTGGTGGCGCTGCTGGGGGCAGCATCCCGCCCCCCATGGCTGCAGGCAGCTGGTGCCTCGGGCTGGCGCTGGAGCAGAATCACCCAGTGAGGTGATTAACACTGGTCTGGGAGCCCGGACTCCTGGGTTCTGACACCCCCGACTCCCACCACCCAGTCAGCGTGCAGCATGCATCTCCCTGTGGGCGGGGGCCCTGAGCTCAGGAATGTGTGTGGCATCCTGGCTGGGGTGGAGTAGGCTGGCATGGCTCCAGGGCGCTGTGTGGGCTCCTGCATGTATCGGGCTCCGTGGGGCAGCGCGTGCAGCCTGGCTCTGTGGGGCAGCCTGGCAGGGACTCGCGTCAGTGCCTGTGTGCAGGGCTGGCGGGGCGCTCGTGGGCGGATGGTGCCTTGGAGGGCGGCCTGGTGCAGGGGATGGGCCCAGACTCTGACAGCAAAGACCAGGCTGGCAGCGTGTGCCCCTGGGCGAAGCATGCGCCCGAATGCGTCTGCTCCCGTGGGGAGACCCAGTGGCCTGGTTGGTGCTGGCGGGAGCGGTGCATGCTGGGAGCTGTAGTCTGGCCCTTGTTACTCTAGCCCCGGGGAGCGCACAGAGCCAAGGGGGATGGCACCCGGGTTGTGTCCGGGCATCCGTTAGTGGGGCAGCGGCACGGAGCATGCGGGCAGGTCGGGGGCTGGCCCTCGCCCTCCAGACTGCCCGGAACCTGCTGCTGCAGGCTTTGCTCACCAGTTTCCTGCTCTCAGGCAAACCCAGCCGCTGGGATCATTTTCTGTTCCTGGCTCCGGGCGGGGAATGTGGGCTGGTGGGTTGGAGCTGGGAGCCAGGACTCCTGGGTTCTCTCCCTGGCTCTGGGCGAGGAGTGGGGGCTGGTGGGTTGGAGCTGGGAGCCAGGACTCCTGGGTTCTCTCCCTGGCTCTGGGCGAGGACGTGGGAACTGGTAGGTTGGAGCTGGGAGCCAGGACTCAGGGTTCATTTTCCAGATCTGCCATGACTCACTGTCACCTGGGGCTTGTCCTTTCCCCTCTGTGCCCGTTGCTGGGTGGGGGACACTGGCAGCCAGGGGCTGGCGCTGTGGGGACTCTGCTCTCTCCCCCTGCGGGCTGGGGGAGGGGGTCCTGGCTGCGGGCTCTCCAAGCTGCTTTTAATCAGGCGCTGTCTGCTCCTGATTTCCACGTCGGCGGTCGGTCGTCGTGGCTGTGCCTGCGAAGGGGGCGGCTGCCGTGGGCGTGTGTGAGCCAGTGGGGTGCCCGGGGATCCAGGAGAGCGGGGGGGGGGGCGAGCGGCGCCTGGGCAGTGGGGGTGCAGAGGAGGGAGGAGACGTGAGCCGGGTGCGCTCAGGAGCTGGGGGCCTGGGGAAGTCCCCGTTGCAGGACAAGGAGCTGGGCCCCCACTCTGCCTGCAGGGGGCGCACCGCCTCAGCGCCAAGTGCCCCTGCCCCCAAAGGCGTCTCCCAGGGCTGAGTCGCTCCCGGCCAGGTGCTGCTCCCCCTCCCCAGGGCTGGGTCTCCCCCCTCCCCGGTGCAACAGATTAGTGTAATGATTCCTGTGAGCCAGAGCCCCCTAATCTGAGATCCCTCCCCGTTAGCCTCTGCTTCTCCAGGCCCCTCTCCCCCGGCTGTGCCGCTCTGCTCCTCCCAGCTCTGCAGGGAGTTCTGGGTATAGGCCCCTCCTGCCCTGCTCTTTGGCCTCCCCCCTCTGTGTACGTCTCCTCACCCCGTCCTGGGCTCTCCATCCGCTCTGCTCTTCCCTTCCCTCCCTTCCTGGGGCGCTGGGGATCCTGTGTCCCTGCCTTTGGGGAGCCCCACGGTGCCCTTGGCCGGGCACTCACTCCAGGCCTGTGATTTGGTGTCCGTGTCCTGCCAAGGGAGGGGTTGGTTCTGAGTCAGGATCCAGACAGAGGAGATTTGAACCTGTGACCATCCAGCGCTGCAGGGGGAGGGGGAGAGCCCCCTCTGCTGAGCTGAGCTGTCCTGCCAGGGAGGGGGTGGAATTGGTGAGACTCTGGGCAGGGGGAAACCCAGTGTCTGTCCAGCTCTACCTGCCCCCCCCGCGGGATTTACTGAGCAATCCTATTAGCAAATCGGCTGTTAATCACCTCTAGGTCCCAGGCAGCATGAGACCAAACACAACTGGCTTAGCCAGCGCCAAGGGGTGGGGACCATGCCCCCCATAGCTGGGGGAGACCCACCCCTGCCCTGCCCTCCAGTACCCCTCCCCACACCGTCACCTGGCCATCCCTCCCGGAGTAGGGCCAGACTGTCCCGCCCGCCCTGCCCTGCCTCTCGGGGTGGGGGGGATCCGTTCCCCGGACACCCTGTGTTTGTCTTGGGGCCCCACCTCCAAGGCGAGCCCATCCGGTGGGTGCTCCCTGTGACCAGGGCGGGGGTGGGGAGTGCCTCCTGCCAGGGGTCCCTCTGCCCACGCCCCTTGGGGTGCCTCAGCCCCCCCATCACTTTATCCCGAGCTGGGGGTGGGAGGCAGCTGCTCCCCCTCTTGGCTTCACCCTGGTGGCTGCAGCTGTGCCCCCCCCCCCACCTGGGAAAGGAGGCAGCTGTCCATCCCCCTCGCCAGTGCAGCTGTCTGCCCCCCCCCCATGCTATTTATAGCCAGCTGGTGATGTCACCGTTTCCTCCGTGCTCTCCATGGTGTGAATTGCTGGAGCTGCCGGCTCAGCCTTGGAGCTGCCGGGAAACAGCTCCTGCTGCTCCCCCTTCCCCTGCCGGCTCCCCGGCCCCCTCCCTCCCCTGCGCCCAGCGCCGGCTCCGCAGGGAGCTTGGCATCGCACTGCTCAGCTCTCCCTAGCCCTTCGTCAGCCGCCAGGCCAGCGCTGCACAGCTCCCGGAGCCGTGCGCAGGCTGGGGGCGATGGGCCGGGGCGCTGGCATGCTGGGGGCACGCGGCTAGGAGGGGGAGCCCACAGGCAGCTGAGAGCTCCCAGCATGGACATCTGCAGGATCGGCAAAGTGAGTGCCAGGGAGACCTGGGGGTGCCCGCGGAGACGCTGCAGGGCGGGAGCTGGGCTGATGGGCTCGGGGGGCAGGCTGAAGGGGGATGAGAGAGCCAGACCAGGTTGGCGAGGGGATGGGGCAAGGCCAGGGAGACACGGGACACAGGCACAAACCCACCTACAGGCTCCATGGGGTGGGGGATGCTGCTCCGCCCCCAGCCACGCTGCAGGCCTGAAGGAGTGTCTGCCAGGCCCTGCCCCTGCCCCTGCCCCGGTGTGGAGTGCTCAGCACCTCAAGGGTGGGGAGCAGATCTGCCCTGGCTGGGGCTGGATCCCAGGGCCTGTTCCTGACGTGGGACCATCCCTGCATCTCCTCCAGGGGCCTGCTCAGCCTGTGCCCATCCCTGGCTGTCTGGGAATCACCCTTGGCTGGAGGCCGGGCACCTCGCTGGGCTGGGCCCTGGGCAGGGGCGGGGCTGGGCATCTCCCCAGGCCAGGGCTGGAGCAGGCACCTCCCCGGGCCCACCCCTGGCGTGTGGTGAGAGTTGGCACACCTAGCAACAGGGCGGTGCCCGCGGGCAGGGAGGGGGCCTGTCCTGCCTGCTGGCAGGCTGGGCTCCTTTCTCCTAGCATCTGGCGCGCTGCTGCTGTAAGTGAGGGCTCGGTGCCTGGAGTGCTGCGTGGTGATGTGCACGTGTGTTTCACGGGCCTGTGCCCTGCCCCGGCCCCTCAGCTTGGCCAGCCTGAGGCAGGTGGGCGCGAGTCTCTCGCCCAGCAGGAGCAAATGAGGGGCAGCATTGCCCTGCGGGGGATTGTGCAGCAGGCAGGAGGCTCGTGCCAATGTGCAGCCCCTTCAGGGCAGGCACCAGGTCCGGGGGCGACAGGGCTCCAGGCTGGGGCTGATTTTCTCCTCCCCTCTTCGACAGAGATGGGGGGACTTAAATCTAGGAGCTTAAATTCCTCATCCCCCCCACCGAAAACTGTGAGAGTTTTCCGATGGCCCCCACTCTATCCAGCACTGCGCCCCATAGGGGAGCTGGGCGGTCACGGAAAGGTTTGATACTGGAAGTGCTCACACGGGTGCAGAGTGAACACCCTGGGGAGGGGAATGGGGCAGCTCGGGCAGACGTCGCTGCATCGTGCTGTGCCGGGCGTGTCTGGGCTGGTTTCTCAGGGCAGCGCACCCTCTGGGGAGCGATTGTGCAGCCGTTCTCTGCAGGCCTGGCTCATGGGGTGCACTGGGGGGCGTGTCCATCTGGGGGGGTGCTTTGGGGACTCTGGTCTTCAATCCGTGGGACTTGTGAAGTTTCAGGGGGGCAGCTGGTGTTACCCTGTTGGGACTGGGGCCACTGTGGGGTGCTGGGTCACGGGGTGGGGAGCGCTCAGTGAACTGGAACTGGGGAGTGTCTAGACTCGCTTCCAGCCCTACAGACTCCCCACACCCCAGTGACTTATGAAACGGGAGAGAGGCAGACGGGACCTCCGGCCCCAATCCTTTCTCTGGCCCTGGGTTGCTGCATTTCCCAGCTGTGCTGGGGGCTGGCAGGGGCCTGGGGAATGTGGGGCAGATGGATAGTGGCTTAGCAACCAGTGCTTATTTCCTGACGGCAGCACAAGATGTGTGAAGAAGGAAATCACCCCCACCCCCAACTCCGCTGGCGGGGGCAGGGTTTGGTGCTGGCGGGGGTGGGGGCTT